CTGCCTGCAGGGGCGCGGTGCCCAGTGTGGGCGGGGGGGCAGCCACGATGGCACCCCACCGGGAGTGTGCTGCCAGGGGCGGTACACGCCCCCCCGCACTCCTCTTCCTCTGCCTGTGACAGCACCCACACTTTGGAACTCCCTGTCGATTGACATTAGGTGAGTGCCTTCACTGTACTCTTTTCAGTGCCTTCTAAAAATATTTTTTCTGGCAAGCCTATCCAACCATGTAGAATGTTGCATTTGTTTTAATCTGTGGTTGTTGTTGTTTTTAGCTTATTGTTGATTTTAATTATATTTGAATGTGTTTTTTTCAGATGTCATTGTGTTATTCTTTTTGCAAATCACTATGAAGGGTTTTATTTACACAACCAAATAGCTTAAAAAAATATGCAATAAAAGAACAACAACAACAACTTCAATTTATTATTAGCCCTTCTCCATAAGGTAACCAGGGTAGGTTGCACCCATCTAAAATACTTTGTTAAAACCAGTTTAAAACAAGCTGCAGTCACAAGAAGAGGGTGGGTCCTCCTGTATACCTATCTCAGGTGTCAAAGACCAGATGTGTCTTTGGCATATGATATAACCTGCATAGGGATGGTGCCAGGTACACCTCTGTGGGAAAGGAATTCCACAACTTCGTGACTACCAGAAGAGACTCCTCTCTACTGGGATGTCGCTCTCTAGTCTCAAAAAGGGTTTATGTCTAAGGGGTTGTAATGATGAGCTCCTGCACTCCAGAACTCAGCACTACACCACTGATCAGCTCCCAGAACAACGTGTAGGCATCCTCCTCTAGCAACTTTGGGGTCACCCAATTAATGCTGCCCCCCCTGTCCTCTGCTTAATTTGGGACGGTGGACTTCATCCAGCTAGCAGGCCAGACCCTGGACTCCTCTATTCTGGGGGCCACTTTGACAGGTGTGTGGGTCTGCCTACCTGATGTTATCATGGCACCAGGCACCACAACCTTCACGTAAATGATCAGAAGCACACTCTGAGTGTCCTCCCCATCCTTCCGTTGCAGGCACTGCTATTCATAAGGGGAGCCTGCTGGATCAGGCCAATGGCCCCTCTAGTCCAGCAACCTGCTCTCACAGTGGCCAACCAGCAGCTGTGGGGAAATCTGCAAACAGGATCTGAGCACAAGAGCATTCTCCTCTCCTGTGGTTTCCAGCAAATGGCATTCAGAAGCATTACTGCCTCCATCCATGGTTGCACTAGCCATTGCGACTAGTAGCCATTGATAGAAGATTTGACTAATCCTCTTTTAAAGCCATCCAAGTTTGTGGCCATCCCTGCCTCCTGTGGGAGTGAGTTCCATAGTTTAACTATGCTCTGTGCAAAAGGCTTTCTTTTGTCTCTGCTGAATCTCCCAACATATTCAGCTCTGTTGGATGTCCTTGAGTTCTGATGTTATGAGAGAGGGAGCAAAACCTTTGTCTCCACTTTCTCTATGCCGTGCAAAATTCTATAATGTTACGCCTGATTCATCCATATGCCAGTCAATGTACACTGTGTAATCAAAGTGGACTTGGAGCTCTTCCAAAAAGAAAGAAAGAAAAGAAACATATTTATTTTGTGGCAATGAAAGTGACAAGAATATACACTGGAATGTGCAGATAACAGTCACTTGATGAGATGCATTATCACCACAGGAATCATCTGGTGTTTGTTTTTCAGCAGTTGTATTCTGCAACATGTCTTTGACTGCAATAATAGCACATTAGTGGTGGATTTAATACTGGACCATCCACACATAACTCTGCTTTATTAGCTGTTCTGTGATGCTTCCCCAACGTTACCACATGATTGCTGCCCGGAGAGACACACTTGTGCTATGGTGCAGAAAGAGTGGGAGAAAAAACAAACCCCTGGAACATTTGTGGTATACAAATTTGCGGGATTTCAGCAGGAAGCTACAGGACCTGCACCGATTGGAAACAAAGCAGTATGTTTGCCCTGTAACCTTTACAGGAACAAACAGTATAGAAAACGAGACTGTGTAAACACCCTGATTTCATTATGAGCACAAATAGTCATGAATGCGGAGTGAAGATGAAATCTGGAGGGGCCCTGAGTCTTACAAATGAGATTTGCCATGAAATGCTGCTGAAAGTTGTTCAGCTATTTCATTTCATTCCTCCTCACCTGGGGAAGGGTGCACATGCGTCCCACTTCACCACCTAAGGCAAAACAGGAACATGCATTTGTGCCACTATGCTGCCACCAAAGCCTGCCTTACCTGCGTTGTGCGGTGGCACCCGCAAAGCAGCGACAGCTGTGGCAGTTTCCAGTGAGATCTCACCAAAATCTCATGAGATCTTGTGTGCTCCATGAAATCTTATGAAATCTTGCAAGGAGGTCGCACTGAAAACTGGTGCCCTGCAGGTACCACCTCTTCAGCTTCTGCTGCCCAAGGTATCCCGCCTCATGGGTGGGCCGGCCCTGTCCTCTCCCTGGTGTTCCTATTCTACCCTTCTATTGCATGATCATACTCAGTCCTCAATGAACTGTTCCCACCTCCCAATCCCCTTCAAGTGCTTCCTAAAAAATGTGGTACAGTACTTCTGAAATCTTCAGGGTTTCCCCAGTGCTTGTAGGTGGATGATGCCATTTTGGCTACCTAAGGAATAGCACACAGAGCCCAGCTATTGGAAGTAGGAGGATTACTGTGATGAGCGAGTGAGTGAGTGGGTGAGTGAGTGAATGAATGAATGAATGGAAAAATCTAATGTGAGGTGCCACAGAGATTATGGATATTCTTTCAGCTGCCTGAGACTTCCTCCTTTTTCTCTTATGTTACTCCTGAAAAGGTTTCTTGACCTAGCACAGGGAACTTCATTTCCACCTCTGATCCACTCCCTTGTTGCAAAAGACCCTTGAAACCACTTTCAAAGTTCTCCCGACTCCATCAGCTTCTTTTTCTTGCTGAATCAAAAGAACTTACGGAGCAAGGAAAGCAAGCAGAAATGTGTGCTAAAAGAGATAGTGAGTCTCTCTCTCTCTCTCTCTCTCTCTCTCTCTCTCTCTGTCTCTGTCTCTCTCTGGAATGTGGGTAACACCTCATTGCTATAGTCCTTTTCTTACTACAGAAATAAAAATGGTGCAGAGTCACTTTTTTTGCACTGGAAAGATTATGAGGACACTCCAGTCCTGAGGTGGTTGGAAGCATCCAGATGAGGCTGATAACCAGTGGAAGCTGGTCTGTTGAGGGTAAGGTCAATGGGGCACAGTCCCACTAACCTCCGTATGTCCTCAGCCAGTCCTCACTTGTCTGCCTTATTACTGCAGTGGGCGTCACTTGGAAACACAGCTCCAAAAGGGCATTTATTAAGAAAGCTGGTGAGAGTTTGGCCAGATAACTAGCTCTAAATTGCTCTTTTCTCAACAATGCATACCAAGGGGGGAAATCTTTCCGTTCCTAATTACTGGAGAGGAGAGTTTGCATTGGCTAAATATGGTACCAAATTATTAATGTAAAAGTTAAAAGAGTGGGAGCCAGAATGCAACCTTGCTTCACTCCTTGTGAAATTTTAAAAGCATCAGGCATACCCGCCATATAAACCTATTTCTGTATTGTTGTATAGTTCTTGGATCAACAGCAAAAGTCTGCAGTTGATGTTAGCAATTTGAAATTCTTCCATAGTCTCCTTTGATTAATAGAGTCAAATGCAGCAGAAAGATCAATAAAAGCTACAAAAGATTATTCTTAATGTTTTTGGTATATTTCCTTATATACGGTACTAAAGAACATTGATATTGTGTTCTCCCCTGAATGCTGCTTGCTGTTGACGAATAAGGTTATTATTTTGCAACCAGCCTGATAATTTTTGATACCATATGTATAGCTATGAAATACCTAACAAGCTGATTGACGGGTGGTTTTGGGGATCCTGCCTACCCCACTTCTTATACACCAGGAAAATGATGCTCATTTCCCACCCAGAGGGCATTTGACTCATGTTATTTATGGCAGTAAATAAGCCAGGATAGGCACCCAGCTTTCTAAGCATACCTTAAAGAGCTCAGGTAGAAGCATATATTTTGATATCCATTTGATTTCATATATGTCTTAGAAGGAGTGTGAATTTGGGAGGTGAGAGTCTGGGGGTTTCCATAGTTCATAATTCACAACTGTATCATTAATGGGCACTGCAGAAAATGTGTGTGTTCAAGGAGTACCCATGTGAGTTCACTAGTGAAACTCAGCTTGAGAAGGTCACTTCTTTTTAACTCCCCCCCTCCAGTGCTGTTGAGAGGATACAGTGCATTGGAGAGAACAAATGTATATGCTTTGCCTTGGTAGAATGTAATGATTGAAATAATTTCCATTCTCATCAGCTGGAACAGCCTCCACTAACTTGTAGCCTTCCAGATGTTTGGACTGCACTGCAAAACATCTGGAGGGCACCAGACTGGCAAAAGCTGATCTGAGATACTGAGCGGGGTGCGGTGCGGTGATGCTCGATCTGTTACAGGTTTTAAAGGAAGAGTTAAAACCGAGGATCCGAAATACATTTTGCTTAGTTCCCCGCCCCCCCCAACTTTGCTTAACTTTTCCATCCACGGTTTGACCCGGAGAGTGGCTTAATTCGGAGTTTCCTCCCTCGTTCCTTTGTGGGTCTTCTTGTTGCTGGAGCTCAGAATCTCCTGTCTCTCTTTCGCAGTGGAAAGGAACAGACTTCGTTTGCGTGCAAGCAAGATGGTTGCTCCGGCTCTGCATGACTCACCTGACACTAAGCAGCAGAAATCTCCGGGAAGCACGCGAGGGACTGGGCAGCCGCGCTTAGCAAAACAAAAGAGCTTTTTGTTCCTTTGCAGAACAAGGGGAAGAGTCGCGGCAGAACAATTGCTTGGCACGCAGAAGGTACCGGGGTTCGATCCTTTGCATCTCCAGGTAGAAGCTGGGAGTCTCATAGCAAGCTGCCTTGTACCATTGGTCGATTTAGCATAGTCCTGTCTACAAACGGATGACTGGCAGCAGCTCTGCATGGGGTTCTCTAGCTCAGTGACAGAGCATCTACTTTGCACGCAGAAGGTCCCTGGTTCAATTCCCGCATATCCTGGTAGGAGAGCAGCCGCTACTGCCAGTTAGTGTCGACAGTTCTGATCCAAATGGGCCAATAGTCTGACTCGGCATAAGGAGGCGCCCTGTGTTCCAAAGTTGCAAGCATGTTTATAGGATTGCAGCCCGCCCAGTCAGATTAGTCTGCCTAAATGGCCACTGTCCGGAACACCCTTCCCATTGAAGTGCCATTGAAATCAGTGGGGCTTGGAAAGCCGGCGTAAGTAAGGGAAGCGGCTATTGTTTCCTGCAGCACACCTCTAGCTGTCCTATGACACTGAAAACACACACACACACACACACACACACACACACACACACACACACACACACACACCCTATCTATCTATCTATGAATGAACTTAGATATAGTTTCCCCATCTTTCACACCAACACAGGGCTTGAAAGGGTAAAAGTCCTCGGCGTTCTCTGCTCCGATAGCATCTGAGATGCGGGTGTAGACTGCTGCGGAATGTGGACGGTCCATTGATAGCCATCACAGCTAGGAAGGAGCATAAGAGGAGTCCCTGCTGACTCCAAGTTCCATCCAGTCTAGCATCATGTTTCCTAGCCGGATAGATGACTAGCACCGGGAGGTAGACTTCTACTGAAGTTGGAAGTTCTATTTCCCAATCGCCAGGACTCGTAGTGACCTAGACAGCGAACACCTTTTCCCGGCGTGGAGGGGTCATGATGTTCTTTGCGGAGCATTGCCTTTTGAATTTCTGTCTGTAATGAAAATGTTAGAGGGCGCAGCAGCCCTGCCAGATGTGGATGTGGATGGGGGAGGGGCTAATCCCGACGCTCATTTATAACCGCCCCCCCAGTTTAGAAGTACATTGGTGGTATGGGAGTTTTTCTTTAGCCTGCTGCCTGTGTGTCTGTCGAACCACGTCACACTCCGAGTAGACCCACTGAAAGCCATGTACTTTTAAAATGTTTTTTAAAACTCTACGGGGCATGGGCGTAGCCGGGGGGGGGGCGTAGGGGGTAGTTAACCTCCCCCACAAGATCCACAAATATTATTGAAAATCATTGAAAGTACTCAATTATCTCAGGTTCTGCCCCCACCCCCAGCAGAAGCCTCCCCCTCAATGTCCCATTTACGGGGTGATTTCCTAAGAAAAGCTCAACAACTGTGGCCCCCCAACAGAAATCCTGGCTACGCCCATGCTACTGGGGCTGTAATATATATCCCGAGTGACTTTTAAAGTCCCCATTTAATTCGACGGGGCTTCTTTCTACCCCACCCCACCTAACTGAGTTCATAGACACTAGGGCCCCAATCCTAGGTTTAAGCAGAACCTCACGTGCTCACGGAAGCCAGCTACAAAACCGCAGCCTAGCTTCAAGAGAATAATTCGGGGGACAAAATGAGGACAGGGGTTTTGTGGGGGCGCGGGGCGCGGCGGCAGGTGTCATTGAAATGGCTAGAACAAAGAAGTTTTGAATAAGCCTCGGTTAAGTGGGAAAGATTGGTGCAAGCAGTGCTTTTTTCTGATCCGGCAGCTCCAAGCGCTTCACCTTTGCTAGAAATCAACGAAGGCGGCCGATCGAAATCCCGAATGTCTCTAAATACATGTCCGTAAATCTAGTTTAAAGAAAGAAAGAAAGAGAGAAAAGTCTCGCTTGTTCAGCCAGGTTCTGTTTCACTTTCTCAAAAGCGCAGAGCGCAGTCCGCATTGCTAAGGCCGTTTCCTGGGGAAGAAGTTCCATGAAGTTCACAAGGACTCATCATGTGAGTGGACCTAGCCAATATTAATGAGCCAATCAATAAAAAACAAAAGCAACCGTCTCTCAAAAAAACTTATTTGCCCGGTCATCGTCTGCAATATCCCAACCCTGGGGGTTTACCTGCTTCCGATTATACAAATGTATCACATCCCACAAAAGAAAAGTTAGCATTTTCTTCCGGGTGCTTTGCATACAGAAACATGTTTAAAACGACACACAGCAAAATGATCATTATGGCAAGGGAGAAACCAGCTTGGCCCGCTTCAAGATCCAGCGAAGCAACAGATGCGCCAAGCCTTGATTTCCTCTTCCCTCCGCGTCGCTTTTTCCTTTTATGTCGTGCCTATTGGATTGTGAGCCTACAGGCAGGGACTACTTTACTCTGCTTGCTTAACACTAAGGAAAAATGGGGCGCTTTGTACGTAATTAATAACAGTAATAAGAGTGGTAGTGGTTGTTTATACAATGATGGCCAAGTTTAAAGTTTCGTCACTGTCCTAACATGCCGAGTCAGTGATTCTTCTTCTTCGGCTATTTCCAGTGAACCTCAGGACGCAAAGTACAGACTGTGGGTTGGTGAAATTATTCTATTTCAAGGCACATCCTATCTTTTTTAATCAACGCAATTTCCCTTCGGAGGAACTTGAACGGGGAATAATGAAATATTATCCTAAATTAACATTCCTAATGGCAGCTGAGGGGGCAGCCCTGAGCATGGCTTGCTACTTTGGGTAAAGTTCCTCGTGGCTGAATGCTCCCCTCTAGCTCCCCATTCAGTGGGATCCCTTTTGGATTTTGCAAATTTCTCTCTCCAGGTCCTGCTTCTGATCGATGGGGGAAGATCACGAAAGCGTCTAAACAAGATTCATTAAGTGAGAAAGTCTCGATCTTTTTTTTAAGTGTTTGTTTCTTAAAAAAATTAATCTCAGTTCCCTCTCCACAGAGAATAGCCGTCTTCACACATCCCAAGTAAAGAAAGAGGTTAAAATAAATTCGCCCCCCACTATGTTGAGGCATACCGATGCTGCTTTGCGGTGCAATCTTCTGCACTTCCCAGAGGGGTATGCACGTCTTTACAGAAGTAAGTAGCCTTGAATTAAATGAGTCCAATCCCAGGTAAGTGTGTGCGTAGTGTCGCACTATTACATTAACCACCAGTTATAGCGACAGGATTAGGTAGCATCATACACATGCGTAAACACAGCACATGCCATAAATAATAATATTAATAATAAAAAAATTGTCATGACTCAATAGGCTTCACTCCTTTGTACGTTTACCTATGAGTAAGACCCACGGAACACAGTATAATATTGGGAGGAGAGGGGAGGGATCGATTTTGGGAATGTTTAAAAAACAAACAAAAAAAACTTTGCTCGGCCTCTGTCCACACCGAGCGCCCTTTAGATGAATTTTAATCCATTGTCCAGACTCAACCCTCAAAACATTTTCGTGGGAGGACCCTCCCACACCAACCGATTTCCACGGGAGTTGGTTTCCATCTTGTCCTAAATACGACGACTCCAAGCACACTTAACCGAGGAAGTAAGCTTCAGTTGGCTTACTTCTGAGCAAACAAGGCAGTGTTTTAAGGCTGCGAACCTTATGGAAGCGGTTACTCCAATTCTATCTTTTGGGACAGAGGTTGGCGCCTCCTGCCAACCAGGCTTACTCGGGAGTAAAGGCGGTTGTTAACCCAGGTTATTATTAAATAGCAGTCACGACTAATACTAATAGGATCAACAAGATGGGAGATTATTTTGGACTAATTAATAATTTTAGAAGAATCTAAAGAAAGCTAAATTTTCATTTATTATCGGAATCCAAGTCAGGAAACCGGCAATTGTAAATTTCTGATTTTTCTCTATCTCTTCCATATCTGGAAGGTGCAATTTCTCCAGCAAGCCGTTTTAAAAATGCATTTGGATCTGGCATTTATCCCGTGTGGAAACTCCAGTTTGAGCGCGCAAGAGATCTTTTGGTTCCCAGCTCCCAAGATCAGGGCAATGGTTCAAAGTGAGCGCATCTCACAGAGGTTTGATCGCAACTCTTCAGGCTAAACACTTTTACACGGGATATTCTACTTCCTACAAAACCACTCAAATGACCAGCCGGTCTTTCCACCCAGTTCCCCGCGTGTTGGGATAGGACTGTAAAAACAACACAGTTAAAATATACCCCGTTTGGCGAATACAGTTGAGCCGTGGGTGAGCGGGTGTCAATTTTAAGGGGAGAGTTCGTTTTATTTTTACTATCCAAGGCACAATTTGATTACATATGAAAAGAGGTTCCGCAGAGTACACACTATATATTGAAAGCACGTAGCTTCTCCACAGCATCTTGGGAACTGTAGTTTACCCCTCACGGAACTACATTTCCCAGCACCCTTAGCAAACTACAGTTCCCGTGATTCTTCAGGAGAAGTTTTGTCTTCAAATGTATGAAGACGAAGGAGAAGCAACCTTTCAACTCTTCTGGTCGTTTGCATGGCGAGAAAAGAATATGTACATACGCAATTACGGGTCTTGGCAAATCTGGAAAGAGACCTGCAGATGTCGATGGGATGCAACTGCGGGTGTGAACGTGCAAAATATGCTTTTGTACAATTATCCTATCCCGCCCCTTCCTTTATGGCCCCTAAAAACCTCACCCACTGCAACGAGTCAAAATTGCGGAGAGCTGAACCACACATCCGTGTCCCTCCCTCCTGCAGCCTCTAGCTGCACGTGTGAACAAATCAGAGGACCTTACCATGGCAGTTACAACTCTAGCACAGTGGAGAGGGCCCACACATTTAGCTGGGAGTCAACAAATGTGAGAAACTCATGGGACGCGTGGGTAAGGAATCTCTGGAAGTCTTCTTTAGTCTCCAGCCCTATGATCGGATCATGACGCTGCAACTTTCCACGGGGTCTAAGGGTAAGCCCGGCATCCGTGCACTAACGCGGGGCTTACAGCTGAGTAAGAATGTATAAGGACTGCAGTGTAACGCTCTTAAAAGAGCTTGCTGGTGAACTAAATGGTTTTAGGATTTGGTAGCTAATGTCATTAACGTTTCTATTCTGGACCGTCCATTAAAAAAAAATGATATTGTAGAATCGGTAGATGGGTGGGTTGGAATTCATCAAACAGGACATAAAAAGGATCAGGGGGTTAGACCATCAGTCAAGAAAGGCTGTAATTTTAGCTGTAGACGTTCAATAAATACATTTTAAATGCATACATAAATAGTTTAAGTCATAGTTCAGGGTTAGAGCATCTGCTTTGCATGCAGAAGGTCTT